TTAAAAAAATCACTCTATTCATATAAGAACCAATAAATAAAATATATGTGTTAAAATATATGAATAAAAATGCAATAAATCAAAAAGCAACATTAAACACGAGCATTATCTGACACCGATCCTTGAGAATATTTTTGTTGGTTTTGACAATATTGTACTTACAAAACATACTAAAACATTTAATATTGGATCTAAACAAACATCATTTTTTTTACTTATAGTTACCCTTCGACATTAGATAGATATTTTTTGTTTTCACAATGATATATGTTCAACTTTTAAATTTTAAAGTGTTTGAAAGGTTATTTTCTTATATGATGTCAACAAAACTGTCTCTCGATTCGATATATTACTTGCACTATCTCAATAATATTATTCTCTTTCTGATAAAGAGAAAATCTAACAATAGCCTTTCTAAACAATTTATCATTTTAAAGTTATTTTCAGCTTAGTTTCTTAAGCTATAAATTTAAATTCGTGAAATTAAACTAGGGCCTTATGTGCCGAAAGCAAAACAAGAATGGGCCTTATAAGCTATCCAAACCAGGGCTTCCCAAAGTCCATTCGTCCACATTATTTTAAACTAAATATATGTCATCGTTAAAAAATGTATGTTTAATATATATACATATTTCAATTCTCTGTCAAGATGACATGAAAATTATTTTGTGGCTTTTTTAATTTGTTAAAATAGGTGGACTTCAATCACGTACTATTGTCACTTTTCACTTAACTTTCAAGGCGATTTTCATGAACGGTATAAATTCAAGTATTCAACGCACACCAAACAATATACTACATTTTTTCCTATTGGGGAAAGATTACTGAAATATGGTTAACAAAATAATAGTATTGCTATATTGTATTTGACGTCATTCGAGGGTCAATTTATTTCCTAGTCTAGCCACACGAAACGATATTGATATTGAATGCAAGCACGTTGAGACTCTAGTTTGATTTTCCATCGTCTTCACCAAAACAAGAATCTCCCTAGCCGCCCACAAAGAAATATAGAAATATTCGGGGAAAAAACAACTCATCAACTCTCTCGAATTCCTTTTCATTTCCATAATAAGAGTCAATGCACTTGACTAGGCTATTAATACATGTCACTAAAACAAGCTAATGTAAAACAAACATAAACCCCTACCCAAATAAGAAAGAGAAAGAATAAGTGAACATTTAGGAGTGCATTTACTATTGATCAATGTGGGGTATCCTATCCAACTGCTGCTATGCCTTTGGTTACACGACACGTAGGACAATCACGAGACCCTCTCATTAATTCTTTGTTTTGTTCGAATGGTACACATCCATTAATTGACACACTACTCAAAAATTGTCTTTCTAGTCATATACTCAATAATGATACAATATTAATTATCATTAAAATTTGTTTTTATTTAAATATATATTGATATATCTTAATGAATAAGTATAAATTATAATAATATATAATATATGTTGTTAAATTTTATTAAAAATTCATTTTTTTATATCAAATAGAGATACTTGCGATAAATTGTTGAATGATAATAATTTGATTGTTGATAATAATGTTATTGGAGTGTGTGTTGTATAAAGGAAGTTAGGAAAAAAAATGGTAGAGACGAAGATGCATGGTACGCAACCCAAAGTAGAGTGGAATTTGCAATCCCGAAAGAGGATGGTGTTGTATGTGTGTGTCACAGTGTCCTGAGTCTACCTAAACTTGGTGACACGGGTAAACCTAAATGTTAGAGCCGTGAGTGACACTTTCCATTCCTTACCTAATGTTGGAGAGTACAAGGTGGCAGATGAATTTCATTGGTTTAGGAAGACCATGTCACATGTCCACTGCTGCCTCCCACATGATGGTAACGTTATACAAACCTGCCTTCGTGATCTCCATCTAGTAATGGCCAAGAATATGGTTTTCAAAAATGCTCTCTGCTTTATTTTATGCAACCATTGACTCATCTTACCATTAAGTTGCCTTGGGAAGTGAATAAATTAAACATATGCTTGGATAGTGTTAAAAAAATTAACGATTTAATCTTTGAAATATCATCTTCTATACAAACTAATCTAATTATATTAGTGATTGTTGAAGAATTGAATATTCATCAACTCAATCACACAGTTTATAACTACTAATATTTAAGACTAACTTAAAGTTTTTTATTAAGGAACAAAATATCATAATTTATAGTTTATTCATCCTATAATAAGTGTTGTGTTTAAAAAAATCTTAAAATAAATATTACATTAATTTTTAATGTAGTATTAATTGTCTCTTTTCTATTGATATTTCCTAGTAATATTCTTTAGAAAGTAGTTATTATATTGCATCATTTCTAAAATAAAATAAAATAAAAAAAAGAATAATTATAAGATTAACTTTGTAAAAAAAATTTATTCATTAGTTTTTCTTTATTTATGTAAAACAATCTAAAACGATACTTATTATGGAACGAAAAGAAAGATATTTTAAAAATAATTTATATAATTTTGATATAGTTTAAATACTATTGAGAGTGATACTTTAAGAAATAAATTGATGATTTACTAAAATAATATGTTATGTTTTAAAAGATTGTTGCTCAAGACTCTAGGTACTATAATTCATGTTATATTTGTCTAGTTATGAAAGACTCTTCAATTTTTAGGCACTAGAACAACTAATAAAGAGAATCATTACCATCTTTTTTGTTACCTCCTTTCCTTTATTATCATTATCACTACCATTTTTTTTTAATATACTATCTCTCACACTCTTTTACTTGTTATCATATCATACCATCATCACAACTATTGTTAGAAGAAATGTTAGCAACACACTCTTTTAAATACTTTCTCATTAGTTGAAATATATCGAAAAATATAACATTTAGGAGATCTCATACCTTATTTAATGACTATCTCTCTAGATTTTGTGATTTTCAATCAATTTTAACTAATAAAAATGAGTGTGTTAAATAGAGTGTATTGTTAGCGTTCTTCTTGTCTCTACTATTATCATTGTTAAAACTTCTAACATCTTTTACTTTATTAGTAATTGGTGTAAAAGGAAACATTATACATCATTGTATTTTTTTAAAATAAAAATGAGCTATTAATAATAAAAAGTTTTGAGTAGTTAAATTTTTTTGGATAGATATAGTTGTAACTTGTAAGAAAAGTTTGAGCACTTTTTTAAAAGTTTTTAAAAGTGAAATTTATGGAAAAGTAAAAAAATAAAAATAATTAAATAAAAAAAATAGTTACAAAAGTGGTTTGAAAGGTAATTATGGGATCAAGTTGTCCAAAAATTGTGCACATAAAAAAAATACTCCTTTTATATATAATATAGATAAATATTTTATATTTTGGAAAACAAAGACAAAAAATAATTTTCCTTTTTCACTAAGTTCCTAAGACACAAAAAATTATATGTAATTTCTTAAATATTTTTTTATGTTATCCAATTAAAATAAAAAATGTTACCTTGATAATTTAAGGAAAAAAATTGCATTAAAAGTTAACACAAGTTATAGAAGAAAAACTTCGATTCTAATAGAAGAAAAAAAACAGCATAGAAAATTTCCTAAAAATCTACATCTAAGTTTATCATTTTTTAAAAACATGAAAAATAATAAAATATTTCAACAACTTTTGTAATTATTAATAAAAACATAGCTAAAAAATAAAAACATCTGGAAAAAAGATTTTCTCAAATAAAAAAAAAAGTTGAAATTCTCAAGCATTGAAATCTTACCTTTAAATCTTTTAAATCTCTACTTTATAATCAAAACACATTATATTCATTCTTTTCTTAAATAGCCAAGATCTGATGCAGTAAAATCTTTTCTTAAATAGCTAAGATCTGATGCAGTAAAAGAAAATACATACCCAAAGTTTTGACCTTTGCCCAAGGAAAAGTAATGGCACTGGCTGAAGTCCCACAAGCAACCTAGTTCAATTTCTGAAGTACGTCCCTGCTGCAGTGACAACATTGCAATTACTCAACCTTGTACGCAACAAATATTCTAGCCTTGCACTTATAGGAAGAAGGAGAAATCAAAAACTGAAGAAAATATCTTTTATAATACTCTTGAGGATCTTATCTTTCCAAATCCTCGTCAACTTCAGTTTTATTTATAGCTAATTACAACAACTCATCTGAGGTTACGATAATCAACCTATAAAAGTACACGGTACAATATTTTTCATATCAAAGAGGATTAGTATTTATAGAATTTAATTTCAAAACTTAAGAGGATTAATAGAATGTAAAAAGTATCAATCGAGTATTTTTCCATTAAAAAAATGTGAGTAAAACATGGACAGACAGTGTAACGTACCAAAGGAGTCCGAATGATATATTTTAAACAATTAAAAAGAACTAACCTGGATAATATTTTTTAAAAAGTTTATTGTAAAAGTTTAAAACGAAGGTAGTATCAAGGATAGAATTAGTATAATTTGCTCTTTTATTTATTCTATCAAGTACTTTTAGAAAAACCAAGGAGCTTTATGTACACTGAAACTGGTCCAAATTATGTAGCATGGAGAAAAGCTGGTCCAAAATCAAAACTACTAGTGGAAAAACTAAGCTTCCGACAAGCAAAGTTGTATCTGAAATTGGTAAATGTAAAAAATAATCACAACATTATTTAAAAAAAAAAAAAAAAACTTTTTATCTCTTTAAAGAGACTTATCCCGCTTAACTCAAGTCATTGAAGTTTCCAAGGAAAGTGGGCAATTTTCACTTCTCAGATTCAAAAGGTCTTAGAAAATGAAAAGGCTAACAAAACAACCTTCAACAAGTTAGGCTCAAAACGATTATAAACTTGGTCGCATTTGATCCAATGATGACTAAAACTCTCCAACAAAGCCAAATTACAAAACATTGGGTTAAAAATGAAACAATTTTTCCACATCCATAAATAGCTAGTAAAGATGCCACAAGTAACCAAACCAGAGGGAAAAAAATTGCAGCAATATAAAATCATCCACCAAATAAATCATGGACCATAAAGAAGTCACAATGAAAACAACCAAGTTAAAATTTATATCAGCAGTCAAGACTGTGTCTCAGAACCATATATAACATAATCCTTATGAACATCAAGCAGAAAATCCCCTGAAAGCGAGGTCTTTGAGTTGACAAAGGATACCTAAAAAACTATATAGTCCTATACTGCATTAGCTACAAGATAATCAACTCCACATATGCTTAAGCGGGTTACTTGCTGTGACTTCATCACCAACACCACGACCACAATTCCTGAAAGCAATACAAATGGACAAATAATAACAATAATAATAATAATCTACTTCCAGAAACATGCAGGGATGCTTCCACTAAGAGAAGAACACAAACAAAATGAAAGAGAAAAAATAAAAACAGAATGAAAATCACTGACTTGTAGCTTTATTTACATAAACAAAGAAGTTGCTCAGAAAACTCCTCCTGCCATGGAAGGCAGGTCATCAAAGCTCCAAAGGTTCATAGGGTTGTCCTGAGTTGCATCCGCGCTGCTGAGCAACGACGCCAATGAAGCATCAACCCAGTTTCCATCAAGGAAAGGGGCCTCAAAGAACTTCAGCTGAGATTCAATGTCTGCAAGCTCCTCAGATAGAGTCTTTGCAGAATCATTTTGCACAGGGATCATTTCCTGAGAAGTGTTTTTCTTCTCATCAGCACCACCCTGCACAAACTGAGATTCACCCTCCAAAGGAGCAGAAAGGATGGATGAGATCTCAGGAGTCTTGGGGCCTTGTTCACCCCAACCAAGGTCAGAATAATCGAACGAATTGCTTGAATGCTCAGAGCTGAAGTAGGCAGTAACATCAGCAGATGGAGTAACCACAGGTGAGACTTGAACTCCATTTCCGGCAAATGGGGCAGTGTTAACAAATTGGTTAACCATTGGCTTCTGTTCCACCTGATCCATAGGGCTGTAGTAGCCCTCCAGATTGTCACCAAAATTGAACATTGAGTTCATTTTTGGCTTCACAGAGCTGAGACTTTCCTTCATTGGCTGTGCCTCTGGATTTGCCTTGTAGCGTTTTGAGGAAACACCTGCAGCCTCATCAGGGAAGTTCACCTTGGCTTTCTTGCCGCGAATCCTCCTTGCTTCAGCATCATATGCTCTTGCGGCTTCTTCAGCAGTGTTGAAGGTTCCAAGCCAAACACGAACCCCCTTTCTAGGGTCCCGGATCTCAGCTGCCCACTTTCCCCATGGACGCTGACGGATCCCGCGATATTGGTTCTTCCTCTTTCTCTTGGCACACTTCTCAGCTTGCCCCTTTGATTCAGCAGATTTCACACTTGCTGATCCTTCAACATAATTGGAAAATAACATCAATAATAGGGGAAAATAGATATACACTATCATTAAAAATAAATATATCACATACCAAAAACACACATATACAAAGATTGACATCTATTTTCCCATTTCTTCCAAAACTATTCAGGTCTATTGGACAACTCCACAACAAGGTAAAAGGAAAATCAGCAACATGAGTAAAGGAACTAATAGACATATATTACCAAAAACTGTGTTAGATATGGTTACCATCCAATTACCCAACCTATACAAAAAAGGCAGCTATAGTTGCATGTTATTAAGAAGAAAAATGCAAAGCTTGAATAACAATATAACAGCACGGTGAAATTAAACAACAATCATATCAATTTCATGGATTAATTAGCGAGCGATCAAAATCATGCAGCATTATTTAGCCCACAAACAGGAAACCACATACTAGATCAATAACCAAAACAGATGTAAAAGAACTAGCAATACTCAATGAAGTGCCAAAATTGGATCAAATAATGAACAATTAATGAAACAGATAATAGAGGTAAAATCAGGATCCTCAATTTTTTTTTTAAAAGATCAAACGTCCATACCTATAATTTTTTATATAAAAAAAAAATTAAAAAAAAATCAATCCCCTTAAGCCCCGGGAAAACGTTCAGCTTCACCACCAAAATAACAAAATTAACATCAAAAACCCTTGAAAAAAAATACAATTTTGTTTGAAACGGCTAAACAGGTAACTGAAACCAACTCCAATTGGATCCCCAAATTTCATGCACAGTACATAGACACCAAGCCCCAAAAAATGATTCCCTTAAATTTTTCCTCAACCAGAAAAACGAACCATTCCTGAAGATCACACAAAATATCCTTCAAGATACTCACAAGATCTAAAACGTTTTCAATAAAATTCGCCACACCAACTCCATAAACAGAACTCCCAAAAATTAAAACAAAAAAATCCAAAACGAAATTAACATCCCGGGAAACCATACATCAAAATCCAAATTCTTGAGTTAAAAAAATAATTTTTTAAAAGAGAATAAAAACAAGGCACAATCATGAGAAAGGGGGGAAAGCCACAATTTTTCCACCCCCAACAACCAAAAGAAACGCAAAACACCAAAGCAAGGAATGCATGTGAAAACCAACAACACAGAAAGTAAAACTCCAAGTGAAAGGGTCATCAGGTATTTACCACGAGAGAGAGGCTTGGAGGCATTAGCAGAGTGAGAAAATCCACCAAAGGGCTTGACACCGACCATGATCAAATCCTCGTCCTCCTCCTCCTCGTCCTCCTCGATTTCCGAGTCATCCTTGAAGTCTCTGAAGCCAGCCTCGAAGTCATCGTCCAGCACCGGCTTCGAGAACCGCTTCCCGTTCCTCAAATTTGGCCACAGGATATCGGCGGTGACGCGGCGGGAGCGGCCCGCAGGCCCCGCCGGAATGAAGTCGGAGATAATCGCACCTCCACACATCGTTCTTCTCAGATCCTTGCTCTTTCACTAAAAGCTTGGGACTTTCTTCCACCCAATTGAAAATTATCGCAGAAAAAACAAAGCTTTCGCTCAATCAATGGAAAACAACAATGGCTGTGTGTGTCTTTCTTCAGGGTTTTGTATAATTGAGGTTGGTGTGAGTTGCGAGCTGTGTATATATATATATATATTTTTATTATACCATTATAGTATTATATGTATAAAGTTTTTTTCTTTCGGAATGGGGTGGGTGAATTCTGAAGTGGGGGTGGAGTTACCGTTTTACCCTTGTCGACGTTAACCGGTGAGTTTTCTTTTGGTGGAACGGTAAACGGTGAAGTTGATGTTTACTTTTACTGGTTGGTACTGGTATTGTCTGCTGTGGTCAGCATGCATCACCACGTGCGGACCACACGTGCGTGGCGCAGCTTCCTTTTTCGTGTACATGTAATGAGATGAAGATAAAAAAGGAGAAAACATGGAATGCACGATAATTGTGTTGGAGGAGTTTTACATTTTAAGTGGTGTATAATTAGTAGTTACGTGTGTGCAATGAATGGCTTGAGGTAGGGAAATGTTTTGTGACTGCTGCGGGGTTTTTTCGTCATTTAGAAGAAAGATTGTTTAGTACATACACAAATTAACCGTTTCATTCTAGAAAATCTATGGAGGTGAATTTTAAGTTAAATTTTTTTTCTCGTGATTTAGAAGAAAGATTGTTTTTGTGTCGTACCATAGAATTTAAATTTAAAGCAAGTGATGTTGTTATACATTGTTATTATCAAGGGTAATATTGGATGAAGATGTTAATTCGTATGATTATTGATGTTTGTTTCTAAACAATGAAACAATGAAAGTACATGTAAAAAGGATTTTGATGATCACGTTAATCTTTTATATCTAATGTTTTTACTCGCTATGTTATATGTACTTTTTTTTGTTAACTATAACTATCAGTTTACATTGACGTGTAAAAAATGTGTCCTCTTTATATTATAAGTATAACTATCAAATTGATATATTAACTTAATTGCAAGTATTTTACACAAGTTCATAGGGATTAAAAATCACCCATTATAAGGGAGTGAATATTTTAGTCTCCATGAGTTAGTAACAATGAAGTAAAACTTTAAAACTTAATTAATAAGAAGTAAAAAAAATAGAGAATAATATATGTATTGGTTAAAATTTTTACTTCTTATTAACATTCATGTTCATGCAATTTCTTGTGATAATAAAATGATTAAAATTTATTTTATTTTTTATTCTTCTAGCTTTTACATACTTGTGTCTTAGGTTATCGTTTATTAATATGTAAATTCTCAGGATAATATAAAATAATTCAAGATCATTTTATTTCTTAATTTATGTTAGTAATTATATTTTTTTTATTTATCCATGTTATTGTTTAATGTACGTATCGTTGGAATTCAAGTGTGAAGTGAGTCTCATATTAATTATAATTAAATATGTTGAGTAATATATAAGTGAGAAAAGACTCACATATCTAATGTCTTAAAGTTTAGGATTGAGATGTAGTATCAAACTCATTTATATGGTTTACTCATTATTCATAGATAGAGTACTCCCCAATGTCAAACTCTCTGATCTAACACGTACAAATCTTCATGTTAATGAAATGGTTTAAAATCATTTTTATTTCTTAATTTTTGTTTGTAATCAATTTTTATATATTAAAGACAAACAATCATCTTGTACAAAAATATTTTTAAGAATTTTTCTTCAATAAAGAAGTGTGTAAGAATTATTTTAACTTTTTGTCTAATTCATTTTTTTATTTATCATAATTTATGTATTTAATTTTAACATTTTAAAAATAATTGATTAATAAATAAAAATATTATTATGTTACAATATAAATTATATATCATAAATCTAAAGTATAATTTATATGATTAAAAAATTTTATTTATATAAATTTTAAATATAATTTTTATATTTAGCACATAATATTTATATGTATATTTAACATTATTATCTGTATATTTAACATATTGTAAATTTTAGTTATATACAAACATATACACACATTTAATACATTTATTGCACGTGCTTAAATACTAACTACGTGATATTTTGTGGTTTTTCTCACGATCATGCAAATTCTCATGTGTAAAAAATGTTTCTAAATCATTTTATTCCATAATTCTCGTAGGATGTTATGTGATATTTTTTTTTTCCGGATAGGCCGTCATGCTAATTAATTTGTTAATAAAATAGTTTAAAATAATTTTATTTCACAAATCTCAATTGCAGTTATGTGATTTATGTTGTTGGATTATATTGCCCTTTATACAAGTAGGACATCTAGGAAGATCATTAGACCAGTTCATTAACTGAACCGATTTCAATCGGTAGTTTGAACCATTTTAAGTGTTAGGTCAACTTAGAACATGAAGTGAATGTATATTAAAGCCGAATTAGAAGAAATAATACAAAAATAATCTGTGTATGAGTAACTTATCTTGAAAATTAATTAAGAATGTCAAATATTATAGAAAAATGTTGTTAGCGTAAAAAAATAGAAACCAATGATATTTCTTCTAGCATTGGTTTTGTATGCATTACTATAAAAAAAAATACTAAATCATTCATTTTAACATGATAGTTGTAATATCAATAATTTTTATTTTATATGGCGTGACATAATAGTAAGGTAAAAGAATCACGTTTAATCTAATAAGGAAACAAAAATACTTTTACATTTTAAGCATCGGAATAAGTAAATATCTGTTTAAATGATAAATGAAACACATTAATGTTGTTTAAATAAATTGTCAAAATAAATATAAGTTATTTTAATAAAACTTTTTCTGAAAGCATGATGTGAAAGTTTTAATCAAGATATTTAAGTGATGCAAATTTTATGTTTTGTTATGATATACATACTTAAAATTTTAAAGATTACATGATAAAATGATATGACAATTAATAAAATATTATTGGAAATTTTATTAATTAACTTTGATAAAGAAAATGTATATCTCTTAAAAAGTTGTACGTTGTTTAAATAAGAGCAAGAGGGAATGTTGTTTTTATTTTAAGGGAAAGAATACTGAAAATTTGTCAAATTTGAAATCGTGCCTTACTCTACTCCATCAATTCTTTGAAGTTTATATCTACGTGTTTAAGAAGCATTTATATGTTTTATTTTTTACCATATACAAAATAAAAATGTGTTTTGCGAGTTTTTTTTTTTTCCTGAAACAATATTTTTTTTGGAAAAAGATATTAATTGCGATTTTGTTTTTTAACGTTGGGAATATGTTTATCTAAATATAAAAAAAAAAAAAAAAAAAAAGAGTTAAAAAAAAAAAAGTGAAAAAAAAATGTTCAATCATTTTTTATAACTAGAAATACTTAATAAAATACTTTAAATTTTGTCTTTTATTTTCGCTGAATATTTTAATTTTTCTTAATGAATACTTTGATAATAGTCATTAGCTTGGTCAAGATTAAGACCCTTAATACTGGTGGTAAGACTGGTGACCTGCAACCTAGTATTTCGGTTGAAAGCAGTTTTAGACTTTTATCCTTTGCCATCTCATTGAAAAAAATAACCTAAACGACTAATGGGTAATTTTGTAATCTTAATCTTCACTGTTGTGTTCTCGAAGGCCAATGCTTAAAGAGATTTAACTTTAAATATAACATTTATTATATTATTGAATATAATAATTACTTCCTTTTTTTCATAATAAAATGTCCTAAATTATTTTATATAGATAAAAAAAAATATTACTAAGCAGTTAAACAATAATGATTTTACAAATGTAATTTATAATTAATTTTTTTGTCAAAAATATACAACACAACAATCATTTTCTAGGTAATATTATTATTAAGGGATCTAAATAAAAAAGAAATAATTAATATTACATTGAATAGTTAATATAACACTTATTTTATGATAATATTTTTTTATTCTAATATGATACTTATTATAAAATAGATAAAATGTTAAATATTATGTTTGTTTTTATTTATAAAATTCAACATCAAATAATTATTTATTCCTTTATATAAGATTTAAATTTTAATTACCTAATTTACTAAGATTAATAAAAATAATTAATTTAGTTAATAATAAATTTTGTCTTATTTATATGTTTTTTTAAAAACTATCCTTACATTATTTCTCTTCTCTAATTAATATTCATATAGTATGTTATAAGTTTTAACCAATTAATTTAAATGTTTTATATTATTACTTTTTTATAATTAATACTTGCTAATCTTCAAACCAATTAAAATACATACTTTTTAAAGAGTTTATAGTTAATATATTTTATAAAATTAAGAGAATTAATTTTAATTTATAGTATTTTATCAAATTAGGGATCGAATCTTATATAAAGAAATAAACAATTATTTTAAGTTGAGTTTTATAAATAAGAATGGATTAATAATTATTTTAAAATAAAATACTCATAATTAAGATATGATTTCTTAATTTGGTAAAAAAAATATTAAATATAAATTATTTAAAAGATATATAGTTTAATTAATTATAAGAAAGAGCAATATTAATTAGAAGAGAGAAATAACAAAAAATATGTATTCTAACCAGTTAAATTAAAAGAAACAATATACATTAATTAGGAGAAAATAAAAATAATTTTAAAAAATTATAAAAATAAAATAAATTTATTATTATCAATTAAATTAATTATTTTTATTAATCTTATTAAATTAAATATTTATATCTTAGATATAAGAATAGAGGGAGAAGCATTTATTAAAGGTATTATTTTAAGATAGTCATTAATGTAATTAATTTTTATACATAATAAATTAATAGTGTATATTTAATGACAATGCAAATAAAGAAAACCATTTCATTCGTTTAATTTACATAACTGTACATAAAAAGTTAAAATTTAAAACACGTTATTACTTAAAGAAGTCTTGACCTTTAAAAAAAAAAACATAATATATATATATATATATATATATATATATATATCTTAATTTTCATCGTTATGATATATTAATATTTATTTTTCTTATTTTTATATAAAATTTATTTTTACTTGATGCATCTCGTACATTTATATATATAAATTAATTTTTAAATTTTTTCTTTATTAAAAAAATTTCCTATTTATTTTAGTATTTTCATTCAAATATAGCATCATTGAA